ATATAGGCCCTATTTATAATTCTTAGCGTTCGAACCTTCCTCCTACTCCTTTAAAAATATTTTAGCTAGAAAATAGCTTTTAAATTTTTCGATGAAAAGATAACATTATTGCAATTTGTGTTATAATATTGAATTTGGAGCTGGAGGGGCACACCATATCCGGTGATAGTAGTTTTTGTACCGCTTTTGCCTCTCTTCGGCCCTCCTCTTTCTTTTTGATTGTTTTTTGTGGTTCTGGCTGAAAGGAATAAAATAAAAATAAATAAAATAAAAATAAGGGGCCCTATGTGCTTGATTCAGTGATCCGGGGGTAATAATGTTCAAGCGCTTCGGGGTTGTGTCAATGGGAGGCGCTATATAAATTCAGAATTATTATTATTATTATTATTATTGCAATAATATTGCATAAAAAAATTTAAAAAAAAGAACACTCGTCTTGTTATGTTTAAGTTATAATATGATTCCAAGTCGCCCTCTGTTCACCCCAAAGAATTGACCCAGTTTGTCGAGAATATTATTTATTTTGATTTTCCACCACGGCAACGAATTTTGCCACTTTTGTGTTACAAATTGTGTTATGAATCATAACTTTTGACAAAACATGATGTTCTTCAAAAACAACGTTTCATAAAGGATTTCAGATCAATACATGGTCATCGTGTGACTGATCTTGAATGATGTTTTGATCAATAGGGCGAGGGCAACATGAAATCAAAAAAAATAATTTATAATTCTCTATAAATTGGTATAAATAAATGAAACTAAATGAAACAACACATATACATTACTGTAGTCCTACTGTATATAAATCAGTGGCAGCATTTTATTACCCACCAATTTTTCAGATACATATTATTTTTTGCTGACAATGTTAATCTTGCAATCACACTAATTAAGTGTACACTGTATTTTTTTTAATAACATATCTCAAGTAAATTACCATAAAGCACTTCATATTATATTTGAATGTGGTCAGTACTACCATATGGATAGGCCACTGACAACACAGTGAGGGTGAACTGACACTGCGAAATTACTCTATTGCCAAATTCTGGAGAAATAAATTCTTTTGGGGTGAAAGAGCTTCATACCTGTCAGCTGGAAGTCATCCTAGCATTGAAATATCTTTTGGAATTGCTGGATGCTAAGTTGTATCAGTGCATAGAAACCTCGGTGTTATGTGTTATATAAATCTATTTACATACTTACATACACACACATATATTTTTCAGACAAAATATAAAAAACAATGAAAAAAATTCCATGATGGACTTCAAAAAACTCTAGTTTATTAGCAACTGGGATATTTCTGCGACCCTCAACAAGAGTGATGAAAAACCATGAGTATTATCAGAATGTACTGCACATATCAAAGGTACATGTGACAGGCAAATCAGAATAGTAATTATATCATTATGTAATATAAAAACCAAGAGCTTCATAGATATAGTCAATGCTTTATTTACAAGGTGTTAGAGAATAAGCATAAAGAATCAGTTAACAAGCTGATTGCCAGACCTTTTTTCCTAGTTCCTTCCCGTTTGTCAGAACAAGTTAACATGTTCAAACAGTTTTTTTTAAATCATATCTAGTTGCATATCAAAATAGCGTGTCTAATATATTGGAGGGGAAATACTAGGGGACGAGTATACAAGTTGCTAGCACTGGGAAAGAAATTTTCTTGCAAAAATGAAACAAATCACAATACGTATGTATTATATAATGAATAGTTATATATTTTGAAACTGAAAATGTTTCTAGAATAGTGTAACACACATATTATTGCAGCTATATTGCATTATTTCTACTTGGAAATGCAATTATTAAGTATAAAGGGCACCACCAGTTTTTACACTGCCTGCAATTAAACACAACATACATAAATTATTTTAACATTATATTGTAGGTGTATCTTCCCTGAACTACCTCCGTTGAGGCTGTAGATTTTCGAGGTAAGCCACGTGGAGTGAGCAACGTTATAAAGGTGCACTGTTTTTGACGAGTATACTCGTCCATAGCTCCCCATCAACACCCGGTTGGCAAGTATACTCGTTGCTAGCAGTCAATGTGTTAACTGATACCCTAAACGACACTCAATCTATTTCTTGCATAATTTCCGTAAATTTACAGGAATATTTTTGTAAGGTTCCCACGTACATTCTTCAAATCCAGTCCACTTCACCAGATACTCTACCCTCCCTTTTCGTTTTCTCTTCTTTAATATGTCTTCCACATCATAAATGGCATCTGAAAGAATTTTTTTTATTAATGTAAATTATACAATTATACTACATGCTTATCTCTAATAAAACAAATTGCTGAACTTTTCTGAGCATTGTATAACATAAATGCCCAAAGCCCTGCAGCTCTTATAAATTTTTTAAACAGATTTCAGTGCAGTCCTCATTCAAGTCACTTGTGTCAGTATGCCTGTCTGTGATGAATGTAGACAGACTCGGATTTGGGGCAAATTAAGAATTAATCAACCAGCTTGGTACCAGTAAAGGGTCACAGATTAAGCACTGTGACCCTTGCTGTACTAATGCATATCTGCCTCAGCTCTAATTTGAGAACAGTGCTTAGTGATTAAAAATCATGTCTGATGCGCACTTATTAACGAGCAGCGCGATTAATCCAGTATTTACATTAAACTCAGTGAAAATTAAGTAATTGATAATATAGTAGTATTGAAATGTTATCTTGGTGGGTAAGATGTTTTCTTTCCAACAAACGATTGTGGATTCAATTCCATCCAATGGAAATTCAGTTATTTTACAGGGTATAAGCTTCCACAGTGAAATGAAGGATAACGTAAATTGGTTCTGAGATTACCTGGAGAGAGTTCAACACCAACTGTGTGACATAGCTGCTCCAAGTCGGTTGCTGAAATAGATTATTGGAGTATTGAATAAGTGCATAGCTCTCAATGAATGTAGTCCTGTATATATATACATAGCTCTCAACGAATGTAGTCCTATATATATATAAATTTATAGGCAAATGGGATAAACCCATAAAACAACAAACGACCATAACTTGAAAATAAATTATAAATATTTTTCAAACATAACAGTAGAGAAAATCTGATCAGAATGACAAAATAATCCAAATATCCACGAGGGAAAAAAATCTGTTTTGGCCTTTTAGGCCTCATCATGAGTGCAGCTCTAGGGTAGACAAAGACGAAACAACGACCAACAAATGAATGCAAGTATCTGTAATAATATAGTTTTGATATGCAATTGTATTCTATAAAAAATACTGTATACTGGCAATAGTACATTTTTTATATATCATGCATTAGGAAATATTAATGTAGAATGTTAATTAACAATGTAATAACCACCTAAAATACAACCTCACTTTCCCTTGGATTATATTCCCTGAATCAACCCTAACAACATCAACATTACAACCTGAGAAAGTGCTAAGAAAAGCCCAAAAATAACAAATATTTTGTTAAAAAATAAAATTTTTTTAAAACATAGGTTTATCAGGAATTTATAAAAAGAGGCATAACCTCTGCTACTTTCAAGGGATGGAGAAGGGCATCCTATGCTGATAAATAATGAGATTATACCCACCAATCCTCAAACCTCAATTCAACAAAAAATGCAGATGGAAAGCTATGTATGCCTACTGAAAATTTTATACTTGGATGGAAACTTACCCTCTTTTTGTAGCTCTCCTACAGATTCCTCTCTTATAATTTCTTCCTCTCTCCCACTTATGTTTTTGCCCACTTCTGTTCTACATTCTGGGAAAAAAATTATTTCATAGTAAGTTGATAATTTTTACAATAAAAAACATTTTGTCAACATCTCTGTAGTCAATTGCATATCAGTAGAGTAAATATAGTACCTACTGTATTACATTCAGTATATCACAAATCATGCACACAGTAAAATACACAGCTATTATACTGACTGTGGTCTAATGATGAGTGACTGTTATGTTAGAAAACAATGCTAATGCAAGTACTTATTTTGTTATTTGTTGTTTTGTGATCATATATCTGTCAGTACTATGTTTATTTGCAATATTTTGTATCATCATTTTCTGATGACTTGCTTGTGTGACAGGTTCACTTCTAGGGTATGACAGAAAACTCGTGCCAATTTTGGGGCCTGAATTTGAATATTGCTGTGGTGGAAGATCTTTAAGATTTTGGCCGCCTTCCAAATCGGTGTTGTTAGTAGTAAAATTGTTGGCATTGCATATTTAATTTCCCTGATGCAAAGAGAATAATGACCGAGATGTTAACACAATGCTTATGTAGTGTTATAGTTTATATATAATTGCATCATATTTGACGTCTTACAAATGATACTATACACAATATTAATCAATTAGGCATAGGTATTAATGCTATTTATATACATAGACTATACCAGAACATGAAGACTAACACTATATAAATATTCATAAAGGAAAGGAAGATAATTAAATTAATTCATCAATTAACTAGCAAATTTGAGTAACTGAAATTTATTTGAGAAAGAAAAATTAGTTTATTTGCAGTTGTATGATTTTGTAATGGTTATTTCTAGTGAAAAAAGCAGTTATGACCTTTTTACATGCTGAAATCTAACCTGACTGTTATAACTAAATTTTGAAAAAAATTATCAGTATGTTTTGACTGATAAGTGGTTTTTAAGGTATCTTACTATAAATGAGATGTTTCATGCAAGCTCTCACTTTCCTTCATTGAAGGATAAAAAAAAATGATTTTCACTTTTACCTTGCTCTACCACTTCCACATCTCTAACCGTTATTTCTTCACCCTCATCTACACTCATGTCCTCATCATCTTCTCTGCATTCTGAAAAAAAAAGTTTCTTTTGGCTACATTGTAGCTTGATAGCTGTTTGAGTTTGAATCCACTGAAAGCCTGACAACAGATAATGTCCACTGTCTTTCGTCCTTTAAGCTTATGTGGGGTATTCCAGTTGCCAACACCGGCAGATAAAATTTATATTTATATATATTGTTTTTCTTTTTGTAATGAAATTCATACTTACCTGAAAATGTAATATCTTTCCCTTCTGCTAAAATTGTTCTTAAACTTGCTACACTGTAGCTGGATGGCCGTTTGATCTGTATTCCGTTTGGAAGACCTGACACCAGGTAACGTCCATTGTCTACATCCTTATAGCTTACGTGGGGTTTTCCAGTTGCCAACACTAGCAGATATAATTAGAACAATTTTATTTGGTTCACTTTATAGAATTTTTTCTAAATTGAATTATATCATGATAGACAACCAGGCAACTTGAACACCAATAAAATACTGCACTCTGATCTTATCTTATCTTTATTTATATTTTGCTTTGTAGTACTGTTACGGTTCATTCCACAAATTTTTTAGCTTGCATACATTGAATTTTTACTCCCCTATATCAATGATTGCCTGCGTGCAATAGATAACTGACGATGGTAGTGGAC